TTGGCTGACGGCGGGCGCGTTTCCTTGCCCATGTCCCAGGAACCCGCCCGCCCGCGGGAGAGATGACGTCCTTAGCCCAGCAGCTCCAGCGCCTCGCGCTCCCGCAGAGCGACCCCAGCCTCCTGTCCAGGGATGAAGTTGCCTCTTTGTTGTTTGACCCCAAGGAAGCGGCCACCCTCGACCGGGACACCGCCTTTGCCATCGGTGAGCTCCTGCCCCTTGGAACGCCACGGGGAGCGTTGGCTTTCTGGATGTGGCTGTGTTTCCTTCTTTTCTCTCCCGACCTGCCCTCTCCCGGAGCGGATCCTAACTTGTTGACCTCAGGTTGTTAGGGAAGGAGAATGGCAGTCAGGTGCGAGGCGCCCGAGACGCACATACGTGCACAGATGCAACCACAGAGCTAGGGAGGTCGTCTAATGCACAGAGAGGAGGGACAGCCACAGGGGGGGGCGAGTTATTATCCTTCCTGTATAATAAAACCCTAATATGCAAATCGACCCAACCGGAGGACAGGTCGCTATGACACACTGACTATCGGGGGCAGTCGCTCAATGCAGGAGTGTGTGCTCCCGCCCCCGCCCCCCCCAACCAGAAGTAGGCAATCCGGGGTGGGGGTGGGGGATGGTGGCCAGCGGGCTGCACCAGGTCACCAAGCGAGGCGGGTGGTGAGTAGGGGGTGATCGCCCGGCTCTCGGTCACCCCACAGATGGCCCTGATCGCCGGCCAGGCCTAGGGACCCTACCCTATATGCTGGGAACAGCCTCTTGGATATAAAAATTAAAAACTGGCAAGGCTACTCGAACCCTGAAAAGACAGGATGATGCAGCGATGACATGCATGGACTCTGTGGTCAGCCCTGATTCTGACACTTACAACTGTGTGACAAAGCCAGTGACTTCTCTCTGCTTCAGTTTCTCCCCCATAAGGTGGGGGAAATGGTATGACTGCCTCAGAAGGATATGTTATGCACTAGTTTGTATAATCGGCAAAAAAATGTAGCTGCCCGTACAGCAGCAAGATGCCTTTCACCTGCATGAAAAGTATGGTCACTGGTACATGCAGCATCCCGGATTGGGAGAGGGATGTCCGACGGCCGATTTAGGCCCGACATCCCCCAAGGGGTCCCCGATTGTGAGAGGGTGCAGGCCAGGCTGAGCCCCCCACACACACACACATACACACGAATTTCGTGCACCGGGCCTCCAGTAGCAGATATTAAACACACATACACAACACAGCCCCTGTAAGAAGTTCTTGTTCTCCTAGTTGGTGCAGTATTACTCATTCCCTAGTTGAAAATGAGGAATCTGTGTTTGGGACCATGTTACAGGTTGGGCACGCAAAAAGGATTCAGAGTTCTTTGAGGGGTGAGTAAAACTGCGAATGAGGGGTGAGACGCGCCTCCTTGCGAAGGGTCATTAAAGGAGCCGTCCTTTTCCCAGGGTGCACCGGCCTGGAGGAGCTGCTCGGCATCGACCCCGCCTTCGAGCAGTTCGAAGCCCCCCTGTTCAGCCAGCTCGCCAAGACCTTGGCGCGCAGCGTGCAGACCAAAGCCGTGAACAAGCAGCTGGATGAGAACATTTCGTTGTTCCTCACTCACTTGTTTGCCTCCTTCGATAGGATTAGCTAAAAGTTGAAGAGGAGGGCTGAAGCCAGCACACAAGTGTCTGGAGTGGCTGATTCACAGGTAGGAAGCGGAATTACAGAAATAATTATAATACAGGGGCTGACAACTTTGATCTTTAAGAAAAAAAATTAAGTAATGACAGCATGTACCCACTTAAAGCTGAAAAATTAATGCAAAATAGAGGACTATGGTTAATGCTCTGTATCCTATAATTACATGATTGTTTTGACTAATATTCATTCTAAGTATTTTTAGCTCATTGATAATACAATTTGGACAAGTAGGGAAATACGTGCTTGTAAGTTTTGTGTCAATTTGAGTTGTTTGCTTTTCCCCCCAGGTTCCACATCCACCTGTATAATCAAGATAGCCTCATAGCTTGTGTTCTCCCATACCATGAGACAAGAATATTTGTGCGGGTTATACAGCTCCTAAAAATTAATAATCCAAAGCACAAATGGTTCTGGTTGTTGCCAGTTAAGGTATGCTTGTTGAATGACATGTCTGTGATCAGTACAAATCTTGATTAAGATGTAGTTTGGAAAAAATAAAGTCATTGGTGCTTCTGAGAGTATTACCTCCATCACTTTTATTTCCTAACTTCCTGTTTAAATAGAAGCTGGGTTTTATTTATACCTGATACAGGCCGGGCAATTTACATAGAGGGTGGGGCAAAAGTAGGTTTACAGTTGTGAGTACAGGAAACAGAGCTTATTTCTGTGCTATTTATTAATTATTGTATTATTTTCCATATGAAGCCCCGGTTGGTGTGGCTCAGTTGATTTGAGTGTCATCCCGTGCACCAAACGGTCATGGGTTCAATTCCCGGTCCGGGCACACACCCAGGTTGCTGGTTTGATTCCCCAGTCAGTACTCCCTGTGGGAGGCAACCAGTCGATGTTTCTCTCTCCCTCTTCCTTCCTATAAAAACATAGCCGGGTGAGGATTAAAAGTCACGATCAGTCAGTGGCTGTTCTCTCTGTCTCTTCCAGCAATCTGGAGTGCCCTTAGCTAAAGGAACTTTGATTACCCACTGCTACAAAGATCTTGGATTCATGGATTTCATTTGCAGTTTGGTAACAAAATCTGTGAAGGTGAGTAGTATATTGTCTCATGAATGTATAATTCCGTTAAACGGTCGCTTGCTCTGAATGGAGAAAACGTACTGGACCTTCCCCAGTAACAGTGGTGGTTGGAGAAAGTTCCTTTTGTAAAAGACCCTCCTGTTCAGGAGTGTGAGCAGTGGGTCAGTCTTTCATTATAAAAGTTGTTTTTCTACAAAAATTATTCCTTGCCAAGGTCTATTTATAATGATTGTGGAAACAGTTTAAAGAGACAGTCTAAAAATGTCAGGAAGGCTGTTCAGTCAGCCTTGTCACTTTTCATTGAACCATGGACTCTGTGTATTTATTTAATGTTGCAGATGGTAAAAATTAAAATGTCAGCCTGAGGGAGCTGAAGAGAGCTGTACATGTTTTTATACTTTTATTAAACTTGGCCTTTCACTCCTTAAATATGTTTTGTTTGTGCTTTTGTTCCAGGTTTTTGCTGAATATCCTGGGAATTCAGCTCAGTTGAGGGTTCTCTTAACTTTTTATGCTTCTACCATCGTGTCTGCCTTGGTGACTGCTGAGAACATATCGGACAATATCGTTGCTAAGCTATTTCCATATGTCCAAAAGGTCGGCCCTGCTCAAGTGTATAGCAGATTATTTTGTACTTGAGGGGATGTTCTTGCTTTTAAATGTTTAACTTGGACATTAATGTTCTAAAATAGACAGTTTCGGATGGTTGATGAGATTTAACTTTTAGGTAAAAAGATGACCTTTTTCTATGGTCTTAAAAACCAGAGTAGGATCTTAATTAGGGCTTCTTAAAAAATAAATATTGGATATTTGGCCTTGCCAGTGTCTCCCAGATATACATGGCACAGGCTCTCATTATGTTTACACTGACTCCTGCTTCTCAGTGTCTCTGCTTCCCAGTTGCCTTGGTGCCGGCCACCATCCCAGCCCCTGGAGGTACTGCTTTCACTTCCCACCTTGTCCCACGATCATTGTCTTCACTCAGATACCGTTTCTGATTGAAGTCTCCCTGTCAGGGGTGGGAATTTGCATAAAAGAAGAGCTCCTTGGCTCCTAGCAGGATGTGTGGCGGGTGCTCCAGTGGGAGACCCTCTGAGATCCTCCTCTCGTCTGAGAGACTTGTCTTCTCTGTGTCCCTCAGGAAAGGGGTCAGCATCTTGATTTTTCACTGCTGAGGGGTGTGCATTAGGTAGTATTAATCTCCAGTTTATGGCGTTTCTAACTTGTCAAGGTAAAGTGACATTTTAAGTAGACTAAAATAATATATAGTTCATTATGTTTCCTTATATTTTAAAAAATATTTAGGGATTGAAATCATCTTTACCAGATTACAGAGCTGCAACGTATATGATAATATGTCAGATTTCTGTGAAAGTGACCATGGAAGATACCATCGTCAATTCATTGGCCTCACAGATCATCAAAACATTGACAAAAACCCCCTCTTTGATCAAGGAGGGACTGGGTTGCCTGATAGTGCTGCTGCAGAGGCAGAAGCCAGAGAGCCTGGGGAAAAAGTACGTACCCTTGAATTGAGAAATGATAATTTGACGTTATTTCAAATCTTTTTTTTTTTTTTTAAGATAAATTGCTATTTATTGTGTAGCTTGTTAAGTCAACACCTTATGTACTTGTTTCTTCAAAGGCCATTTCCTCACTTGTGCAATGTTCCTGATCTTATTACAACACTGCACGGGATTTCTGAAACATACGACATCAGTCCTCTTCTGCGGTACATGCTTCCGCATCTGGTCGTCTCCATCATTAATCACGTTACAGGTACGTGGTTGCAATTTTATGTATCAGAACGTGTTTTCTAATACTTAATTCTCTTAAAACGGGAGCCATGCCTGTGCTCAGACCTTTTCTTTTTAAATAGATTTTTATTAATTTCAGAGAGTCAGGGAGCAGGAGAGACAGAAACATCAATGATGAGAGGGAATCATTTATTGGCTGCCCCCTGCACGCCCCCTACTGGAGATGGAGCCTGCCACCTGGGCATGTGCCTTGACTGAAAATTGAAGCGGGACCTCCTGATTCATAGGTCAACCGTCAACCACTGAGCCATGCCAACCCGGCTAATTGTTTTATTTTATTAGTAGTAGTAGTTGTTAATCTTTTTCTGTGCCTAACTTATAAATTAAACTTTATCACAGGTGTGTTTGTATAGAAAAAAAAAAACGTTGAATATATAGTGTTCGGTACCATCCAAGGTTTCAGGCATCCACTGGGGGTCTTCAGACATAGTCTCCATGGAAGGTTTAATGAGATCTAGGTTCAGGTCCCAACTTCAACTACTTGTAATGAGATCTGGAGTAAGACTGTATTTTTTGGATTTCTCTTTCATTAAAGAGCTAGGCATGATCATCCTTTTTATATACAAGTACATAGAACTTCAGATAAAGGATAAACGAGGGTAGTTTAGATGCAGAAATGCTTTGAAAAATATAAATGACAAAATATGTGAAAGACAATTTTGAAAATGGATTTTTAAAATACCCCAAAAAAGTGAGTTTTAGTGTACATGTTTTAAAGTTATTCCTGTAGGAAAGTTTCTGCTCTAAGTGAATATAATAGTATAAGCATGCAAAAATCATTTCCCCAATCAATTTTAACTTGTCATATATATTAAGGAGAAGAAACTGAAGGGATGGATGGTCAAATCTACAGGAAACACTTGGAAGCTATACTTACACACATATCATTGAAGAACAACTTAGACCATTTGTTGGCTAGGTAAGTGGTTATTTCTAACATGCCTTTGGTTTGTATTTTCATAAGTATTTAGTTTAGTAATTGTGACAACAGAAAAAGTAATTTCTCTTGCTTATCTTTAGTGCTCATACCTGATCATGAAAAGTTAATGGTTAAGCTAAATTTGGGTTATAGCTTCATGTAAATTGTATCTGTTTAGTTTCCTAAACATAAGGGGACTAAAATGCCTGAAACCATTGGTATTCAGTAACTATCACCTAGAAGCTTCCTATTAAGGATTGGTATCAAGTGAAAGTTATTTCTTTCTTTTCTGTAAAAATAGTTCAGTTTCCCATTTCTTTTCTTGCTTAAAGGGCAGCTTGATACAGTGCAAAAAATGTAGGCATAGCGATGAGATGTGGACTTGAACCCTGCCCCTGTCCTTCCCAGGAGAGCAGGGTAGGCAGTTCTGGAGGCCAGGCTGCCCAGATCTAGGTTTGCCCTTGTGTGACATGGGCCCCATGCCCGTGCTGGTG